CCCCCCCCCCCCCCCCCTTGTTGTTCTTTGCTCGCTCTCGCGACGACGATTTAACTGGCCGCACACGCCCCCCAAAGCACTTTGCAATGGGATGCCTTCATCACGCCCAACACAATACGGCAGCGGCGGGAGCCGGCTCCAAGCACGGTAGTTACGCTTCACTTGTCCTTTGGAAAATTCTGCGATGACTCGCGAGGCGAAATGAAAACACACAGATCCCGACGGTTGTTGTTGCTATGCCGAAATAAATGGGGTTGGGCACGTCTTTCGCGCTCGCCGTGTTGGGTGTTGGACAACCGAGGTTCTGCTTCACACCTCACATGCACCTAGAGTGCCGAACCAAACTTGAGGGTTCCCTTCCGCCAATGTATATATTTTTCAATCCGGTTCTGGTCTTCCGTTGGGCCGTTGTTTGCGCTCAGAACGCTTCGGCCTGTGGGTCTATGTGGCAGCCGCTGTCAATAATTCCGGTGCATTCCTTCTCGCCTTGCCTTCTCTCTTTCATTGGCAGCGATTAGGACATGTCGAGCGCGATGAATTCCGCAGGACAGGGCCAGCAAACTCTCAACCTTGCCTGTGTTTGTTGTCTGCGTTTTTTTCTTGTGTTCGTGTGACACGGCTACGACGTAGTCGAGATCACAACACCCGGACAGAAGCAGCAACCATGGTATGCATATATGCAGACAAACCGCTCCCTTGGACCCGTTCACCCACAATGACCGAACCTCACCAATCCTTTGGAAACGCAGGAGGGCATCGGCGGCGGCGGCGGCGGCGGCGGGGGAGGACAACGGAAGAGGCCGGGGTCCGCGTCCGTCAGCGGACCCTCGCAGCGCCTGCACGAGATGAAGGAGTACTTCCGCCGTAATCGCCTGGTGCCGCCGCTTGACGGCCCCCACGGCCACGCTCAGCACATGGACGACCACGCTGGCGGTGGCCACGTTAACGGCGGCCACCCCGCTAACCTCAAGCAGGAGCATGAGCACGACCATCACCGCTACCCGTTCTTCGACGGCGACGTCCCCCACGTCTTTCGGGCGCGGGGCAGCGGTGGCGGCGGCGGCGGCGGCGGCGGCGGCGGCGGCGGCGGCGGCGGCTTGCCGGGCATGCACTCCGAAGTCGTGGGCGGCGACAACGACAACAGCAACAACGGCTTGCGGAGAGGAAGCAGCCCGAACGGCAGCATCGCCTCGCAGGACCAAGGCAGCGGTATCGGCGGCGGCGGCGAGATCGCCGGTGACCCTGGCAACGGAGGAGGCTACGGCAAGAACGACCACCAGCAGCAGCAGCAGCAGCGTGGCAACAGCATCCCGTGGCAACACGAGATGATAAGCGTCAATGGCTACTCTCCCTCGTCATCGTCACACCACCAACAGCAGGGAGGCAGCTCCGAAGGGGCGACGGACAACCTCCCCGCCGGCGTGGGCATGGCGAGCATGCAGAACGGCGGCAGCAACGGCCACAACGACGGCGGCGGTCGCGGCGGAGACGGCAGCATCGGGGGAGGCGACCCCGGAGACGTAGGCAGCGTCGAGTTCGACCCTCAGGCGGATTGCAGGGCGCCGGTGGTCGACCCCCACCATCACCAACAACACCAACACCAGGTTAGCGTGACGTCAACCGCAGGGGGGAGCCCGACGTCCTGGTGGAGAGACGCCCCCGAGCCGGTTGTGTCGGCCTTTCCGTGGGACCTCCAGCTTCCGAACCCCGCGCCTCCACTGGCCCTGTCCTCCCACAACGTGGGCAGCGGCGGAGGCCTTCACCAGCAGGAGTCGGCGCTTGGTGGCTTCGGCGGGGGGAGGAGGGGCGGCGGCGGCGGCGGCGGCGGCGGGCCTCCTGCCTTCATGATGGGCGGGAGCGCGGGGGTTTCGACGCTCCGCGCCGGTGGCGGTGGCGGTGGCGGTGGCGGTGGCAGCGGCGGAGGTACGACGGACCACCCCCCTCTCAACAACTGGGACGCGTGTCGTTTTGGGAAGCCATCTGCCTCTTCGCTCGCCGGGCTCGGCCCGGCCCCTGACATCGGTGGCGGGCACCGCCATCGCAGCGCCGCGGGTGACCACCACCGGAACCACTCCAGCAGCTCCCTCGACATCTTGGAGAACGGAGGCGGCGGGGGCGGCGTGAATGGCGGCGGCGGCGGCGGCATCCGGACGGGTGGCGGCGGCAGCGCGATGCTGCTGGACGCCGTGGGGAGGGGGCCCTACGGCGCGGGCGCGCGATGGGGCTCGGGCTCGTCCCCACCCTCGGTGACCGAGGTCGTGTGGGGGCTAGGCGGGAGCAGAAACGGTGGCGGCGGCGGCACCGGTGCCCCTGGCGGCGGCGGAGGGAGCTTCCTGTCGGCCCGCAAGCTGGAAGACTCGCGTCGAGGAACCGCGCCCCCGTGCGACACGCTGGTGCCGCCGGGACCGCACGCCACGGCCTACGACATCCCCAACAACCCTAGGAGCCTTCTCGGGATGGGGTCCGCTGGCGGCGGCGGCGGTAGCGGCGACTCCGACCGGTTCGTTGCGCACGACTTCAAGCCCGTATCCATGGCGCCCGGGGAAACGGACGGGGCGATGTTCGGCAGCGACGGCGGTGACGGGGGCGGCGGCGGCGGCGGCCGTGGCGACATGCCCCGAGCTAAGCGCGCCCGGGTGATGAAGCGGGAAGCGGACGGCATCCACTTGTCTTCTAACGGCGGTGTCGGCAGCGGGATGGCTAGCGGGGACTCGGTATTCGAGCGGCTAATGGAGAGAGGCCGAGTGGGCGAATTGAGCGGCGGCGGCGGTGGGGGGAGAAGCAGGGCCGTGATCAACGGCGGTGACCACGCGCCGTTGCGCGACGGGACCGGGTCGTGGGGCGGCGTCGGCAGTGGCGGAGGCGGAGGCGGAGGCGGCGGCGGTGGCACCGGTGGCGGCGCGGGTGGGGGCGGAGGTGGCGGCAGGACAACGGCGAGGGGCAAGAAGTCCCCGGCCACTAGCAGGAGGTGCCGCCATGAGGGTGAGTGTATGTGTACGTGTTTGTGTGCTTTTCGATTGGAATCAACGTGAATCCACCGAGCCTCGTAATTGGTGGGACTGGGGGTGGTGTTTGGTGTTCGTGGAGCCGTTGCGTGGTTTGGCCGCGACAAGTTCCGCTAGAACGGTGACCTAATTGCGCACGGTGGCAGACGCGTCTCAGGATAGAAGTGCGCGTCTCCTGCGCCCACTCTGGAAGTCCGCCCGTATCCACTCGCTCCGGAGGTACGAGAGAGAGAATGAGGGAGATACGGGGGGGCGGGGGGCGGCAGCGGCGACGACACATATATTTGTGTGTGTGGCGGGCACCAAGAACTGAAAACGCGTGGTGTACTTCTCGAGTATTTTGCTTTAGCTCTTGAGTGTCTGTCATTCCTCTGTTGCAATGCTGACTGATAGCGACGTTACGTGATGCCAACAAGTTCCCCACCGTACCCCGCCCACCCGTGCCCATGACAAACGGGCAACAGCTCCACGCACGGTGTGTCCGCGAAGGATTCCAGACCGTCTCCTAACTGCTTCGCTTCTCTCTCCCCTGCTGTTTTGTATCATTACCCACCGTCACATCACCCCCGGCGCCGTGCCGGTATGAACAGACAACGTAACCGCCGGCTGCCTTACTTACGTGACTCCATCTCCCAGTTCTTCGGCTTGGTGTTGCACGTTCTTAAATCTCAACTCCTCTTGTTGTCTCTGGTGACACTGCAACCTTTCAACAGGCTGCCAGTCCCACCCGAACTTCGGCATCGAGGGCGACCGTCGCGCCGTTTACTGCGCCAAGCACAAGCTCCCGGGCATGGTCAACGTCAAGGCGCCCCGCTGCAGGTATGAACGAGCATGGCAGGGAGAGGGAGGGAACGGGCTGGGCCCGGGTAGGGGGGAAGGGGTGATGTCGTTGTGTGTGTTCACGGTTGCCCCGTCACGTTCGACCGTCGGTCATGCATTCGTTCCTCTCGAGGTGAAGCGCCTTGTGTTTCGTGAAGAGGCCCACTACCGCTGTTGCACGTACATGTACGCACAGCGATCGAACATCTTTTACCCTTCTGTCGTTCCGGCCAGGGAGGGGGCGGGGATCATCCGGGTATGGGTAGGTAGTACGAGGAGAGTCTCCCTCGCTCGCTGCAGGGGGAAGAAAGCAGGGCAAGAAGCTCCGTTTTGATTCATGAGGCTTTTTTTTCGGCTGACGTACCGGCCATTTTCTTGAACGGCAACGAACCAGCGAGAAGCTGCCGTAGACACCGTGGTCGTTGCGAGATGGCCAGGTGTTGCATACCGTATGCATAGGTTGCGCAAGATACGTAGCACACCCCCTGGGTCAATTTCCAAAGCTCGATAGCTCTGCAACGAAGACAGCAGTGGCGGTGACGAAAATGGCGGCATTGCAAGCGTGGAGAGCTTTCTCAGAAAGCGTACAGTATCATGATTTTTGTCATATACTTTCGTTCGTGGAGCAATCGAGCTTTGAGAACCTTTCCAGGCGGTGCAGTATCTTATGCAACCTACGGATGGTATACATACCACGCAGAACAAGTTTTGTCCGAGACGGAAATGCCAACGAACGCTGCTTGACTTTTCTCAATTGCTCGCGTGGCTCTCTCCTTCTTCCTAGTCTGTTCTTGTTCTCCTTGCCTCTCTCAATCTTCGTTTTGTTGTTGATATTTTTCCTTTATAGTCTTTTGATTAGTATCATGCTTGTTGCGTCCTGTCGATTCCAGGGAGCCCGGCTGCACCCGCAACCCCGTCTACGGCCACGCCGGAGACCCTCGCGCGACCTTCTGCCTCTCGCACAAGAGCCCCCTCATGGTTGACGTCAAGAACCGCTGCTGCGAGCACCCCGGATGCAAGCACCAGCCGTCCTTCGGCCTTGTCGGCGACCGCCGAGCTAACTTCTGCTTCGCTCACAAGCTCCCGTCGCACGTGAACATCCGCCGTGCTCGGGCAAGGGCAAACTAAGAATACTTATTAGGCGCGCGCATGAGAGAGACAGAGAGCGAACGCTGAGGCTGCGACCTCCACCCACCGCAAGGGGAGCAAAATTTGTGCGAGGGGGGGCGGGCTGAGCGAGGGGGGAGGAAGGGGGCGGGGAGCTTACATCTGACATGAACCGAATGGCTCGATAGGGGTTAGTACTTGGTGCACGCTTTTGGAGGCCGCCGGCAAGGAGGAGATGATGCGTAAATTTGTCGTTTGTGTTTTGTTGGGGGGGGTGAATGAGGGGGGCTGTGCGCTGCGGCGGTGCCTTGAGCCTCCGGGCGGTTGCGGCGGGCGGTGCCTTTGGGGATGGGTGGGCGTTCATGTGGGCAAGACAAAGGGTTTGTGTGCGGCGGCGCGTCTGGTGCTCGACAAGAGTGAGTTCTTGGCGGAGACGCGCGTTCGGCGAGATATAGATTGGCCCGTTCTTGTATCTCCCTGCGCCCCGTTGATGCACTCCGAGGCATGGCACACTGCGGTAACGGAAGTGTGCCAAGGGGTGCCGATGCCGACCCCGACTCGTGGGATTTCGTCCCCAAGTGTCAACCAACCTCCGGTGTAATTCTTGTAAAATGTTGCACCACGCCGACGAAAGTCGGGCTCATTTTTTTTTTTTTTTTGAGTGGAGTGGAGGTGCGGTGGTGGTGGTTGGGAGCGGCTGCGGCGGCGGCACAGTTTTCAAGCCTAGGGTCTGATCGGGCCTTGGCGCAACTGGTTGGTCCTACCTCTGCTCTTTTGAGTAATTGTGTTCTTTCTGCATGGGTGCATGGAAGAGTGTAGTGGTCGACGGCACGCTGGTCCAGTCCCTTTTTTCTTCTGTTTTTTTTTTTTTGTTACTTCTGTCCCGGTCTGATTTTATTGTATTCGTCTGTGTGGAAATGTACGTGATACTCAAATAGTTGTGTGAGGCGGAAATCCATCACGTCACGCCCCGCCCTCCGAAAGGCGGACGAAAGAGAACAATCATCATCGGGTGCGCTTGCGCATCCAGTAGCAGCCTGCAAAGGTGGCTTCGCTCTTGATTCGAGACTGGTCCGATTTGTAGTGGGAGGTCGGGTGATGGTGGTGTGTGTGTGTGGTTCGTATAGTGCCTGTTTGTTTGAGCGCTCGCACTCGCGGTGTCGAGGGGAGTGCTGCAGAGTCCAGCGCACTGACCTGCATTTGTCTTGCTGTCGTGTTAACTCTGTTGTGTTCCATGAGGATCGGCAATTTATTTTGCTATCCTTGAGGGTTGTGTGTGTTCGCGATAGGACAAGGGGGTAGTTTTTTTTTTTTTAACCACCTCTTTGGTGTTGCAGACGATCGCGGTGTTTGTTGTCTTGGAGAAGCCGCACCACTACACTCCCCTCGCTTTGGGTGAATCGCTGCTTGGTTCGATACGTTTTTTTATCTTGGTTTTCGTCGACAGGTACTTGTACGTACGCCATGACTCGGCTCGATGCACGGGTCCATTGGACATCGATCCGTTGCGTCCTCTGAGGATGGTAACATTTTTTTTTGGTGTTGGATGTTTTTCCTCAACACATTAGTCGGTTTGACACGATCATAGTCTCACACGGGAATTCATCTCATTTTTTTTTTGTTTTTACTGCTGTTGTTCGGCGAAATCGAGAGCTCAACCGCTCCTGATGCTTGCGAGAAACAGTCAGCCGATTATTCAGGTAGATGGATGGCTCGCAGGTGCTCTTTTGTGCGGGGGAAACCGATAGGGGTTTTTGCCATAGGTGGCGAAACGTGTTCCGAAAGTGTTCGATCGCTCTTTTTTCTTTTTTTGGACTTTGCTGTTCCTATAATCGTTGTTTCACGTGTGTACACAGGTAGGTCGAGCGGTCGTTGGCTTAGATAGACGGACAATTTATTTTGCTTAGTGCCCAATATTAGAAGGTCGATGTTTGTTCTTACAAAAATAATTACGTCAGACAAGGATGGACCTCCTTGGCCGACACTTTTTTGCCGATTTTTGTCGTGTTCTAGTATCCGTTACGCGTGGGTCCAAGATTGATTGTTCTGGTTCTTCGGTTGATTTTTGATTTTACGACGTGCATTTGAAGTTCACACTTTTTTTTCTTCTTGTGGGTGCTGACATCGTTGCCGCTGTCGTGATGGGTGTGGTTTCTTTGTTATTTCGATTCGATGGAGGGATGGAGGGATGCTGGGTGGTTATTACATGTTATCCTGTTTCCACTTGACGTGCGTTGGACTCAGAGCGATTTTTGATGTTTTGTGTTTGTGCGTTTTTATTTTTTTTGTGTGTTTTTTATTGTGTCTTCGTGTGCGTTCAATCGTGTGACAGCCGCGAGGGAACAAGCACGCTATGCATAAGCGTTACTGTGTTCCAACTCGACTTAAGCACGGCCGCCCTCTCACCCCTAGCAGCAGCATCAAGTGGTTCCTGGCCTTTGGGAGAGAGAAAGGAAGGTTGGAAGAATAGATTATGCCGTTTCACCCTTGCGAGTGGTGGCAGGGGGGAAGGAACAACTTTTTTTATGCAAGCTTGCGCTGCTTTGTTTCGGTTGCAACGGGTATCGCCAAGGATAACGAGTGCGTAGCAACCTGGCCGGGGACGGCGGTTGAGTGCAGCCGCTTGTATATCACCTGCTTCGTATGCGGCCCGGGACGGGGATGGGGGAGGGGTCGCTGGAGGGGGTGGGGGAGGGGGGGGTGGGTCAACTCAAGCACGATCGATCCACAATAAATTTGGGCGGGAGGGGGGTTCTGTTTCGGTTGGAGACTGCATAGTTGTTCAAGACGACATTGTTTTCGTGTACATTAGTGATTTGGCGGTGGTGGCTGATGTATCATGACGCGTTCCTGCAACACGAACTACATCCGACTGTCATCGCGATTCATACGACGCCGCTTGGTTGGCGGGTTCATGCACTGGTTATTGTAAGGGAGAGACGACGAGATGACGATGAGAAGCAAGAAATGATTTAGCGGTCCCAGCAGAAGTAGGTTGGGGTGGGATGGGGGGGGGCAGCTGTATATTTTTTCGATTTCGTTGAACGACCGCTGTTGATGAAGTTGATCTGCTGCTCTGTTGTGGGCAACTGGTGGTGTTGCAGTCTGGAAGAGATCAAGTGGGGGCCGCGCCTCCGGTAGTGTGTGCCAAGCTGGGTCAATTGTCGCAGTTGAAGGTCGGTGTGATCTGGTGGTGGCGGTGGCGGTAATTTTTGAAGCGGTGGATGACGAGCGTTGCGGTGGTGTTTCTTTCAGAAATTACCGGGGCAGGGAAGCACAAACTATCGTTTTCTCTTTCTGTTTTATTTTACACAATTGCATGATGTCGAGGAACGGAACGATGTTGGCAAGAGTTAACGGGAGAATGGATTGTTATCAATTGGTGTTAGAGTCCTTGCCTTCACACGGCGGTGATATCAGCGCCCGCAAGATGTTGTTGTCGATGATGATTTAAAACACCGGAAGAAGCAGAGTGCCTGTTCGTTTCGATTTTTATTGAAAAAGTGACCGGAGGAGAGCGTTGTTTCTACACGCAGGACCCACCACTTAACCATACGGGCGGAACGATGCCCACAGCCTGCCGCACGAACTTTTTTTCGCGCCATGTTTGGCATAACCTACCGATTCGAAGGCTTGGTTTCGGCAACGTTTTCGCTGGTTGATTGGAACGATGCCCACAGCGTACCGCACGAAACATTTTTTCGTGGCATGTTTGGCGTATTAGTCTATACCGATTCGAAGGCGTGGTTTCGCCAATGTTTTCGTTGCTGGCGTGTGGCGTGTTACGTCGGCGGTTATTACACCAAGAAAAGTAGCCACGCTAGACGACACGGCATGCCGATCGTTCCAAAATCAATTGGCCATTCCACGCTGCTACAAGGCGTTGGAAATGAATGGCGGATTCTTTGTTCCAATGGGGGTTTGTTCATCTCGCGTGTTTTTGTTGCTGCTCCGTTGCTCGCGCGCATCATATTTTCCCCAAAGCGTTCGTTTGTTGTCGTCCATCTATTCTAGGCGCCCCAGGTTTTTCCCTCAGGTACAGTGTACAGAACATGTTTGGCGCACCCGCCGGAGTCACTTGCTGCACAAACGAGGAGGGAGGTTCAGGCCATTTACTTGGCTGTTATTTTGTGCAAATTTCCGCTCTGCATGATGAGCAGCCTCGATTATTCTGATCAAGAACACCAGTGTCGCAACTGCATGCCGATCCGGCCGGTGCTTTGTTGCAACGAACTACGTACATACCATGTGTTGGGATTTGTATGCAAGAACTGACTCTATTCTACTGCATGGGTTTTGTGCAGTATTGTGAAGGCGTGTCTCCAAGTCTGTAACCGTCAGGTGAAGACAGCTTGGGCGCCTGTGTTTTGGATCTAATGATCACTCTGTGTTGTATCTACCCAAACTGCGCCACCACTGCCAACTACACAACAAACAGCAACTACAATTCTGTTGTCAGGTCATGAGCCTAGCGTTTGGTAGGTAATTCACATCGAGTCACACCCCAGCAGCAGCATGGCGTCCGCCACGAACTACCTGAAACAAGGATACGTCCCGTTTAGCGGGAAGCCGGAAGATTTCCACGGCTGGAGTGGCCTGTTCTACTCCATCATGGATGAGCAAGGATTAGGCGACATCATGGCTGGGACGGAGACCGCCCCGGCATCGGCGGCCAGCAGCGCGGATTCGGATCGTGCTGCGTTCGACAGGACGACGCTGGAATTCAAACGTAAGAACGGCAAACTGTACACACGGTTAAACTTTGCTACGTCCGACTGCGCCGATGGATTCTCGAGCACTGCTTCCCAAGTCGTTCGAGCCTTCGGCCCCGCTCGCGTTGGTGAGCATGGGGACGGACGTGCGGCATACGTTGCCCTAGAAGCGAAGTACCGCCAGAAGGGCACCTATCGGATGCATGAACTGCAGCGAGAGTTAGGATCACTTGCGGTCACTGCCGAGGACGATTACGACCCGGCGCGTGCAATCCAAGACTTGCGTCGTATCAGTTCCGAACTCGAGTCACTTGGAGACAAGGTCGTACCAGCCCGCCAGACGCATATCTTGTTGAACGCGCTTCCTGACCAGCACTACGCCCAACTTAAGGCCGCGCTGGTGTGCGGACAAGCCGATGGCTCGGAGTTGGATCTTGACTTCGAAAATGTCGCGCACCGAGCGACCGCGTACCATACACTGCAGATCAGGGGGAAGGTTTCTGCCCACGGCCGTGCCCACAACACGGTCGTGCACGGGGGTGCACGTAGTTTCCGTAAGCAAGGCGGACGTGGCGGACGCGGCGGACGCAACCGCCAAGGCAATGGCAGCCAACCGACCGGAGACAACGGCAGCAGCGGCTCCTCCGCCGGAAATTCCAGAGGCGATAGCCCTGGAGGCGCGCAAGATGTGCGCGGGCGAGGCCGCGGCAACAAGTCCAATAAAGGCGGAAACAAAAGTCACCAAAAGGGCCGAGACCGTCAGGGACGCTGCAAGTACTGCCACAACTCTACAGAGCACGGATGGGACGGCTGCCCCCTTCGCCTGGAGAACGTGCGAGAGGATAACGCCCAACAGGCGAATGCCGCCGCGCCGGAACCGTCCACGCAGGCATGGTTCACCCGAGTCGAGGAATCCAGCGGTGAGCCGGAGGACTTTTCCATCTCGTTTGGAGAACCGCAGGCACTGGAGATGCCTGCCGCGGCGCTGCCGGAGAAGCGCGCCGCCGTGGGCGTGCAGGAAGGTCTTGTCATCTACGATCCGCAGGCACTGGAAATGCCTGCCGCGGCGCTGCCGGAGGAGCGCGCTGCTGCTGAGGAGGAGGTGCCGGAGGCGCCTGTTGCGGCGCTGCCAGAGGAGTGCGCTGCTGATGATGCGCAGGTGCTGGATGCGCCTGCTGTGGCGCTGCCCGATGAGCGCGCTGCTGCTGAGAAGCAGGTGGCGGAGGCGCCTGCCGCGGCGCTGCCAGAGGAGCGCGCTGCCGACGATGAGCAAGTGCTGGATACCCCTGCTGTGCCGCTGCCCGAGGAGCGTGCTGCTGATGCTGCTAGTGACGTTCAGGTGCAGAACCCGCTTGCTGATGCAACAGATATAGTTGCCTACACCAGTGTGTACCAGGTTAAGGACGAGTCCGCCAGGAGCACCATTATGTTCGTAGACACAGCAGCGTCTAGCCACATGGTTAGCGCGGATTCCTACGCATCTCGCCACGTGACCGAGAAGTCGGACTGCAACGTGAGGATCAAAGGTTCGTGTGGAACGTCGAGCGCGGCTCAGAAAGGTATCCTGCGTTTCGGCATCTCAAACGACCGGAACCAACTCGTCCCGGTGGAGCTACAAGTACTACTGGTTGACAACCTAGGAGCGAACATCCTCTCGGTCGGAGCCCTGAAGGAAAGGGGGGTGATGTGCGATCTTCTGTCTACTCCTCCAGCACTCCGTAGCAGCGATCAGGCCTTCCCCATCTCCACGGAGATTTCGCGGATGTACAGCGTGAACATTGTCCTCGACGACATGAGGATGGACGGGACCGCGATGCTGCTCAAGACGAAGGTGAATGCACACATGTGGCACCGGAGGATGGGCCACTGTAATCCGCGCGCCCTCCAGCAGCTGGCGAGGAAGGAGCATTCTGGGGTTAAATTTGACCAAAACATCGAGTCTGGCGACTGCGAGGTATGTGCTGTCGGCAACAGCAAGAAGTCTAGTCACCCACCGGCTAACCGACCTCGCGCCGGCACTCGTCTTGCGCTCTTGCACGTAGACACCTGGTCGCACTCCGTAAAATCTCTCGGTGGACACAAGGGTGCGGTGATGTTCACGTGTGACAATACCCGCATGAGGTTTGGTTTTCCCATCAAGAGCAAAGATGCAGCTGCTGAGGCGCTGGAAACTGTTGTCAAGGAGGAAGCCGACCCGGAAGGACTGTGTATCACCACGCTACACTGCGACGGAGGGGGCGAGTTCAAGGGAAGGTTCGCGGCGCTGGCAGCATCACTTGGAATCAAAATCGAGACCAACGCCCCGTACATGCCTCAAGGCAACGCCGTCGCCGAGCGTGGCTTTGGCACGGTCGCAGCCATAACGCGGCGCCTTCTTCTTGGGGCACCTCATCTACCGGAGAGTCTGTGGGCCGAAGCGTTCCAATACGCGATCTATATACTGAATCGCACGCCTACGGACGTCTTGGGCGGCAAGGCACCACTTGAGGTATGGGAGAACAAACCGCTTGGCAGCTTGCACCACATCCGCGAATTCGGTTCGGTATGCTTTAAGCACGTGGAAGCGGGGGACAGGCCCAACAAACTGGCTGCCAGGGCTGAGAAGATGTTTCTGGTCGGTGTCAACCCTAAAAGCCGGTCGTGGAGGCTATGGTCCCCTCGTGACAAGTTTAAGATCACCAACTCCGCCGAAGTTTCTATTCGCGAGAAAGCCCCGCGCGACGTGGTTCCCCCCAAGGCAGGGCATGATCCGCTGCCAGAGACTCCAATGATTTACCATCCCGGTCCGGAAGAGTCTGATGACGACGTCGACAGTGTGGTGGAGCCACAAGACGAGCAGAAGGATAACGAGCCGGAGCCCACGCCTCAGGCGCAAGAGCCGGGCCCCCGTCGCAGCACCAGGAACCCCAAGCCGACTGAACGTCTGAACCTGTTTACCTTTGCCACGGAGGAGGAGGCCTTCGAGCAAGTGGAACGCTCCCTGCTCACCGGAAGCTCGCTTGGCAACAACGGGACTGGCAACCCTGGCGAAGTGGGCTACAGGGCTCCCGACCCTTCGAGCTACGACGAAGCGATCCGTGGGCAGGATGCTCTAGACTGGCAAGAGTCCATGCGGAACGAAAACCAGTCGCTTGTCGACCTTGATGTGTACGACTGGGTCGAGCCGCCGACGAGTGCCCAGGACCAGCCGATCCCGTCAAGGTACCTTTATAAGCGGAAGTACAAGAATGGCGAGCTTGCTCGACTGAAGAGCCGCGTTGTGGTCCAAGGCTTTCACCAAGCAGACACGGGCGAGGATAAAGCGGCGCCTGTGGCGTCCATGGAATCCGTCCACCTGCTGATTGCTATCGCAGCCAAGAATGGTTTTGGCCTGAAGCAAGCCGATATCAAGACGGCATTCCTCCACGCGCGGGTTCCTGCAAATGCGAAACCGATCTACGTCATCCCTCCGAAAGGGTTCGAGTGCTCTCCGGAACAACAGGGAAAAGTGTGGCGACTCAAGGCGTGGCTCTACGGGCTGCGCCTCTCTCCGAAGGGCTGGAACGGCACCTTCCACGACTTCCTGCTGGAGATCGGGTTCGTTCAGAGTACGGCGGACCCCTGTCTCTACATCCTTAACGCGGGAGGGGTCCTCCTTCTCGTGTACGTCGACGACATTCTTTTGTCGGGAAGCGACGAAGCGCAGGTGATGCGGGTCGTCGAGCAGCTGAAGGAGCGGTTCGACACAGTGTTCCTGGGAGATGCACAGTTCCTGCTCGGTATGGCACTTGAGAGGAACGTCGACGCCGGAACGATCTTCCTGTCGCAGGAGATGTACGCGAAGGCCGTACTTGACAAGTTCGGAATGGCCGACGCGCACTCTACGAAGACGCCTGCGGAGGCTGGGCCTATCAGCACCGTGGAGGAGAAGGTTTTGTCTCCAGAGGA